AAACCTTCGGCACTGAGTTTGCCATCGTTGACTGAATCCATCGGAGGGAGCAAAATCAAACCTCGAAACCTCTCCGTCTCTCTCTCAGGCGGCGATTGCAGCGACACCGTCGTTACGAATAAATGCTACCAAACCGAACCGAACCGGATGACCCAAAATTTTATTAAATGTTCAAACCGAACCGAATCGAACCTTTTCGAAATAAAATCTCGCCGCTTCGTCCTCCATCAACCTCCCTCCACCGCCGTCTTCCGTCAACCTCCGTACGTTCTCTCTCACTCTCCGCCGCATCTGTTAGTCTCTCTCTCAACTTTATCTCCATGAAATTGGTGAGTTTCTCTTCCTTATCTATACGTTTATGTAAAGTCTATACTTTTAGTGTGAGGTAAGGTAAATATGAAAGCTTTGTGTGATCTTGCAGACATGCCTGAGCAAAGGAGATGGCTTTCAGTATCCGCCTTGTCATATGCTGAATTTAAGTGGTTTCCGACTTTTGATCGACTGTCCTTTGGACCTTTCGGCAATCACAATCTTCTCTCCTCTTCCATATGATGTGGGTTTCGAAGCTTCTGAGTATCCACCTGATGTGCCTCTGGATGCTCAGAATCCAATTCAAAAGAAGCAAAAACTGGCGAGACAGATGACTCCTGATGATTTGGTATGCGCAGAGCCGTGGTACAAAACTGTCAAAGCTTTACATTTGTGGGATGTTTCTTTAATTGATATAGTTCTCATCTCCAACCCTATGGGACTGCTTGGATTGCCGTTCCTTACTCAGAACCCTCGATTTTGTGCCAAGGTAAACGTTTTCAGGAGCTTTAGTTTTTGAGTTTCTTGAGTGTAGTTAGTTGTCTTTTGGGGTGTGCTGAGTTCTTACTTGTAAGATGTAGATATATATGACTGAAGCAACAGCAAGGATTGGACAGCTCATGATGGAAGATCTTGTATCGATGCACATGGAATTCAGACGCTTCCATGGACCTGAGGACTCTCGTTTTCCGGCGTGGACAAAGAATTTGGATGGTGAACAAGTACCATCATTGCTTAAGAAAGTTGTATTCGGCGAGAAAGGTGATGATTTGGGTAGTTGGATGCGTCTGTACAGGTAACTGTTAAACTATATGATTGACCAGTTATCAAGTCCCTGGCTCTTCAAGTGTTGATTGCTTTGTTAATTTGTTCTTTTCTTCAGTTTAGATGATATAAAGAGTTGTATGAAGAAGGTTCAAGCTGTAAAGTTTGCAGAAGAAGTTTGTTACAATGGGACGTTGATCATTAAGGCCCTAAGTTCAGGTCTAGATATTGGGGCTTGCAATTGGTTGATCAATGGACCTAATGGGAGTCTAAGTTATGTGTCAGACTCCATCTTCATTTCACATCATGCGAAAAGTTTCGACTTCCAGGGTCTCAAAGGAGCTGATGTGATGATTTACTCTGATTTCTCATGCCTCCAAACCGCAGAAACGACTGAGAATGATAATAACTATATATCAACAATCAGGTACCATCATATACGACTCTTTTTTCGTTTACATTTATAAGAGGATGTTGTATGTTTGGATCTTTTTCTTACTGTTAAAACCTGTTTTAGCAGTGACAAGAATGACGAAGACTTGGCTGCTTCATTACTAGACAATACAGAAAGCTTAGAAGAGGTGGAGAAGCTAGCTTTTGTTTGCTCGTGTGCCATAGAATCTGCTGGTGCTGGTGGCTCAACCTTGATAACGATTACTCGAATTGGGATAGTTCTGCAGCTCCTAGAGCTAATGTCAAATTCTCTTGATACCTCATCTCTGAAGGTTTTGATTTTTCTTTCTCTTTACTTTATAGTTTACTTTATTGAGGATGTGAAGCACATCAAAAGAAAATTAATTCTTGGTTTATATTATTGTTCTTAGCTTTGTATGACTTAATCATTTTAGTATGGTTTTGCTTAGGTTCCAATCTTTGTTATATCTTCTGTGGCAGAAGAGCTACTGGCGTACACAAACACCATACCAGAGTGGCTGTGCGAGCAACGCCAGGAGAAGGTATACTTTTAAATTGCTTGTGAAAGTTTCATTTGAAAATGTGAATCAAATAGTATATGTTTTGATTGGTGTCGCAGTTGATTTCAGGAGAACCATCATTTGGCCATCTTAAGTTCATTAAAGACAAGAAGATCCATCTATTTCCTGCCATTCACTCACCAAACTTAATGTGAGAATTCCATTTAGGTTCATATCTCATCATTGCTTATTTCAGATATATCAGTAAAATAGCTCACACCTAATCTGCAACCTAAATGCGGGATGGAGTGGTTTTATTACAACACTCGATAATAATTGATGTTATGTGAACAGATCGAATTGGCAGGAACCATGCATCATATTTGCTCCTCACTGGAGTTTGCGACTTGGCCCTTCTGTCCAACTTCTTCAGCGTTGGCGTGGAGATCCAAAATCCTTGCTTGTTCTTGAGGTTTTATTCTCTCTCTTTCTCGCTCCAGTGTGAATCTCTCTTTGAGATATCTGATGAGACATATGTTTTGCAGGATGGGATAAGTTCAGGTTTAGGACTTCTCCCCTTTAGACCGATCGCTATGAAAATCCTCCAATGTTCATTTCTTTCTGGAATAAGGTAAAGCTTTGCCTCGCTGTATGTAGCTGTATTTTGCTTGTCAACCATTGATGAATATGATAATTTCTTTTGCAGGTTACAGAAGCTCCCAACACTTGTCTCCGTTTTGAGGCCGAAGATTGTATTGGTAACAGAGTTCTCTCTTCCCCTGCTTTGCTTGCTTATGTCTGTATTCATCAATCTGATAGCGGTTTTATGAATAGGTCCCTGATGTTGTCAACGAGAGGATCAATCTTACAGCGATGAAGACAGTCTCTATCCTGAATTACTCTGAGAACAAGACGTCACGTGTGCCAAGAATTGCAAACAATGCAGAGGTAGAGATAATGGCAGAGTTAGCCACCAAACTGAGCTGGAGAAAACTGAGACAAGTTGAAAACTTTGGTATTGCAAGATTGAAAGGTGAGCTTGTGATGGAAGATGGGAAACACAGATTAGTTTCCGGGTTGGAGCAGGAAGAAAGTAGTTCAGGGAAGAAGGCTCGGCCATTGAGGCATTGGGGCTCAGTGGCTCCGGAAACACTTTTAGACGCGTTAATGAAAATAGGTATAACAAGCGGCTCCATAGAAGACAGGAGAGGTGAGAATGGATCAGAAGACAAGAGTGTAATCCATATAACAAATCCTAGCAGTGGCCTGATAGAGACCTCAGAGAATGGCACTGCTATAATTACAGAGGATGAGCGTTTAGCCTCTCAGATTTTCCAGGCGATTGATGGCATTCTTGACGGAATTTAGAGGTAGTGTCCCTTTGATTCACCAGATCTTCTAATGTGTAAAGTTTGCAGCCTCAAAGATTTGAATGTAAATATTTATGCATGAGATCGACACTTTTATTTTGGGTATTACATACAAAGAAAGAAGAAATTCACTGCTTGTGTCTTCAGGTATTCATTAGCTTTTAAGGTCTTTGCTTGTGTCTCTCTCCAACGCAGAACCAGCCGATGGCGGCTCCTAGAGGGAAACAAACAGCTGCGGCGCAGGCGGCTGTGATACTAGCGATGGAAAACAAGGAGATATCAGAGCAGGGATCCAGCGGGAAACCACAGAGACCAGGATTGTTGCTAAAATCAGAGGCTGAGATGTTTGCGTACGTAAATCTTGGGATTGGACCGATGAGATTATTGTGGGACACTGAGAATCGTAGGAGCCAGGCTAAGGTGGGCGGGATCTCACCGGTGAAGTGGTTATGATCAAGCAAGAGAGTGGTTAGATAAACGTTTGCTGAAAAGTTGCCAGGGATTTCACCGGAGAAGCTATTGTTGGAGAGGTCTAGGGTAACAAGAAATGGAAGAAAAGAGAAAACTTGTGGTGGAAGATTGCCATAGAGCTTGTTTCCAGACAGATCAAGATGCTGCAAGGACGAGCATTCCTTAAGACCACTTGGAAGCTCTCCCTCGAGACCAAAACCACCAAGATCAATGCTAATGACTGTGTTAATGCCATCATAGAAGCACCTCACACCTCGAAACTTGCAGATAAAACCTTGAGAAGTGTCGTCTCCGATTACCCAGTTGGAGAGATGCCTATTGGGGTCCTTGAGTTGAGATTTTATGGTTTTCAGGCAGTTTATGTCGGAATCAGTCGCACGGGTCAAGCTAGAGACGAGCAACACCCAGAGACAGTTCTGGATGAGAACAGTACGAACTAGTTTAGCCACCATCAAAAGTTTCAAGAGCATCTAAGCCTGAAAGTAGATCAACCCAAGAAAAGAAAAAACATACATAAAAGAATCATACCAGCGACACAGAATCAAATAGTAAGTAACGCCTATGAATAGCAACTAACTTCAAAATGATGATAACTAACAAAAGAAACTTGGGAAAGAAAGAAAAGTCAAGTACAAGTAACAAAACGACTCGACTCACCTGAGGTAAATAAGATCGCAATACTAGGAATGAAACAGGCTCAACTTTGCTACCTTTTTGTTGAGCACCATAAACAAGAAGAAGCAATCCACATGCCTTGGGATAATGTTGATGAAGAAGTGACTATGAGATCCAGAGAGAGAGAGGAAATGAATAATGGAGGAACATCCATTGAAATGGTGGACTTTTTGCGCCTAAATCTCGAAAGACGTTCTTCTTATAATTAATTAATAGAGCCTGTTTTTGTCAACTCTTACAATTTTGGAATTCATAAAAAATATACAGATGTTAAGATGTCTTACCTTTCTAGGCGTTGATCACATTCCATGTTTTGTTTTAAAGTTTGGGACATTATATTGTCTTCAAGTCACTTCTGTTTGTAAAAAGTTGCATCCCTCTAAATATTTTCCAACGATTCATTACAAACATTAGTAGTTTAGTACATAAGAAACAAGCAAATACAATGGCATCATCAGTCTTGGACAGATTCTAGGATCTTCCTTACATTAGAATCCTAAGCCATTTCACTGCGTACTCCATTTAAAATGGACAAGAAGTCTCTCAAGATCACGAAAACTCTCAAAACCTGTGCTTCCTCCTTTGCTGAATCTCCATGGAAATACTCTGTGATCTCTTTCACTGCATAGAGCGTGGAACCTTGTTCTGTTTCAATCTTTTGAATCTCCTCTACAGCGCTTTCCAAGAATCCTGTCATCGACTCCCTGAATTTCCACCAATGCTGTTCTTCATTACATCCACTCTCATCATTCAGTAGCAGAACCTCACTCACTCTCTGGACTTCTTGATAAAGCGTCAACACTTCTCTTCTTAGAACACCATAGTCCATTTCTGCAGCTTTCTCGACATCTAAAAGTACCGAAGTGAGATTTTCGACAACTTTTATCCCTTTGACGCCTTCTGCTTCTAAGGTGTTCTTTACAACAGAGTGCAAGAGACTGGTTCTTCCATCTAACCATTTGACATCAACAAGCTCGAGAAGCGCCTCGAGTTTGAAGTCATGAGCATTCCCGCTCTTGGTTTCTCTCTCCAAGACAGCTTCAAGAAGTTTCAGCAACATTTTGCTATTTCTCAGTTTCTCACAAGCAGCCTGCAAAAGATTCATATAGCCTTATGAGACATAAGCTTACGCAGCGTACACACATATATGTCTCATGTTGTCGTCAGTTTTGTTTCCTACCTGTATAACGCCGTATGATCTTTTCAAGTGTGCAACCTTGGAATTAAAGTTAGCAACAGAGAGCAATGCATCAACACGTTTGAACACGAAAGGCACATCAAGCAGTTCCTTGAGAAACCTCTCTGATGGGGAAAGCTTGATCTCTAAGTCATTGCTACAACTCTTCAACTTCATTTCTTCTTCATCACTCGGTGCCATTCTTGATAAACTCTCAAGAAGTTCAACTCCGAGTGCTTCATAGTGACCTGAAACTCGAATATTCGATTCAAGATTCAACTCAACACAATAGAAAATGGAAACGTTTAGCTTTGTGATTGATGATTTATACCATCTAGAAGAGCCTGACGGATATCACTTGTGGTGAGCTCAAGTGTTGTAAGCAGCAAAGCAATATTCTGACTCTTTCTTGGATGCAAAACTCTGCTTTCTTGGTTTAGCATTGGAAGATCACAGCTAAGACTTCTTCGTTTTGGATTAGCATTTGGAGGATTGAATTTAAGACTTCCCCAGCTATTTTTCCGGCAAGAATTTGGTCGGACTTTATCCCAAGGCAAAGGTTTCAGCTTTGGCCTTGGTCGCTCTGTTGTTCCTTCCCAACAACTCTGTGGTAACTCAGAAAAAGATAGCTTCTTCCCAGATTTCTGAACCATGAAAGACTGTGACGGTGGCACAAGCGGAGGTGGCCGTTGCGGAGGAGGAGGAGCAGGAGGAGAAGATTCGCTCTGTTCAATTACATGAAGCTCTGAATTTTCCCAAGAAGGTTTCAGATTTCTAGAAGATTCAGAGATGTCGACACAGAAATCTCTAGCCGGCGACGCAGGAGTGGAAGAGAGGAACAAAGACTTGACATTTCGACTGAAATCGTTCCATCTCGGCGGCGAACTCTCCAGAACCTTCCGGAAAAACCGATCCGGCGTGGTGGAAACTGACGAGTACATGGAGGAACGAGCGTATGCGTCGGGCGTCCTAATCGCACCTCTTTCCGGCGAAGTAGAAGCAGAGGAGATTCGAGGGAAACCTGAATTCTGATTCCAGAGGCTGAACATTCTCAGAGACGGCCCGTATCTTTTATTGCTCCTCACCCGTCTCTCCGGCGACGGAGATTGACGGTTTTGGGTTGACCAGTGTGCAGCCGTCGAGCTCAAAGGCGGAGAAATCGTAGCGGACGGTGACATTGACGGAGAATCCGAGGTTGAAGGATAGCCGGAGTCTCGTGGTTCGTTACCGGCTAGAGACGCGAGAGGTGAGTAGAAGTCGTCGTCTTCTTCTTCTTCTTCTTCGTCATCGGTGAGAGGATTAGCTTCAGAGTTATGCTGAAGGAAGCCACGAGCCGGTAATGGCGGGAGAGGACAGAGTC